TTTTTTTTTTGTATGGTAATGACACTTAAAATCGAGTCTCTTGGCAATTTACAAATAGACAATACTTTAATTCACTCATTTCCCTTTGATCATTTTATTAAGAAAAATCAAGACAGGTTTACTGGTACATATCTTCAATCTCAGAACTTGGGGAGTCAGAGGCAAGAGGATCAAGGCCAGCTTGAGCTACATAGATGGTTTGAGGCCATCCTGTCTTAGAAAAACAAAACAAAATAACAAAATGGGTCTGTTTTCTTGTTTTATTTTCTAAAGATTTATTTTATTTTATGTGTATATCTACATGTATGTGCATTTGCATGCTGTGCTCTCAGAAGCCAGAAGAGGGCATTGTATCCCTTGAAGTTGGAGTTACAGGCTGTTGTGAGCTGCCCAATGTGGATGCTGGCAACTGAACTTCAGTCTTTTCCAAGAGCAGTATACACTCTTACCCACTGCTTTCTTAACTTAGTCCCCATTCTCTTTCTCGCCCCTCCCCCTTTCTCTTTTCAATAAAAAGTATTACAACACTTTCTAACTTGCTTTGCCTTTCTAAAATTTAAAACACAGGGTAAGAGATACAGAGGTGGAGCTCCATCTTGGTTAGCAGTTCAATGGAAAAGTCGCACATAACATCAGCGTTCTTGCCACTATCCGTACCTCTTCATCCGATAGGATTTGGTCCAAACAACTAGCTTTTGATTTATTGACCTTTATTATTATTTTTTTCTTTTGCATACATTTCTGCCATTGTTATTACTGTCTTTCTTCTGCCTTTGAAGAATCACCTGTTTTTTCCCAACTTTTTGAGCAAAATTTTCTAGCTAATTAATAAGTGAGTTAGTGATTTTGATGAGTCAGTTTTAACTTTGATTAGAAGGATGACATCCTCAAGTAAGGTGTCTATGGAAGCACCTGAAGCCATGTCTTTATTGCATAAACATTTTCTGCTGAGATATCTTCAGATAGTTTTGTTTGTTTGGTGTTGGGGATTGCACCCAGGCCCTTACACATGCTAAGGACACATCTATCATAGAACCACTCCCTCCCCACACCTCTCCAAGGGTTTTTTTTTTTTCTGTGTTATTAATTATGTTGGGACACCAGTGTCATGTATGTTGGTTATCTGTTATCTGCCCTCCACACACATCATTCTCCTTACAAAGACTTTGATTGGTTTAGGTCCTGTTCCTTAAGTGGAGAGGCCTCCTTCAGCCCTATCAAGCCAGGTCTCACTGAACATTTCTTGTCTCTCCACATGTGCTCAACTTCAGAGCATTTAATTGCTGCTAGCCCCCTAACTTAGTATCACTCAGCGTTGTCTACAATTTTTCTGGGTGTGTTTCTCACTCTTGGTTCCATTGAAATGGAGATGGGGGAAAAGATAGAAGTAAACTTTGAAAGGTTTAAGGTTTACTTTGAATGCGTTTACTCTGACCTGAATATTTTTTCACTGAGAGTATATGTG